GAAAGATAGAGAAAGATTAAAGTAAACACTTATGGAAGTTGTTGAATGAGACTTTTTGATTAATAATATTCTTAAAATTTTGATTGATGATAGAGTATAATGTCGTCATGCAATTCATGTAGTCAATCCCATCTCGTGAGATAAGGCTTACTATTTTTGGTAGTGATAAATGCCTTACACTCTTTATTTACCAAAAACCATGCAAGTTATTTCTTAATTTTCCTTCAGTTTTGTGTTAAATTGCTGTGGAAATGCTAATAAGTAGTTGGGCCCCACTTTCACTAAATAAGAAGGACATACTTCTACTTAGATTAGGTTATTCTTAAATTTTGTTTCCCTTCAAAAGAAAAAACTTGCGTTTGACTGTGAAAATCACTGTATCAGCTACTTTAATTGCTGAAGGCTTCTGCAAGTCTCTGAGTGGCCCAAAACTCTTTGGATTGCTTTGTTGTTGGCAGAAAAGAATGCAAAGAAAGCAAACATTTTTGTGAGAGCAAAGGAAGAAATCGATGCTATTTTCCACCATGACAAGTCACCTCACCATCATCACAAAGAAACTCATGGGTTGAGCGATCATATTGACGAGAATACCCCTAACAATGAAGTTAAAGCTCCCAATGTGTTTGAAAGAGTAAAAGAAGAAATTGAAGCCGTAGTCCAAGCTATCCATCCCAAGAAAGAAACATGACTGTGTTCTTATCTCTCTTCTGAAGGAAAGTATGAGCATTCAGTTTGACCGTTGGGATGAGACCTGTGTGAATAACGTGAGTAGTAAATACATGCGTATATTTTTTCAGTATGTATATCTTCCTTCCCAAACCCCACCTCTTTATTTTATTTTCATTTTTTATTTTTGAGAAAGATTAAATACACAGATGGCCAAGGGGGAAAAGTAGAGAATTGAGGGGTGGAGATATCAATTTGTATCGTTTGGAGGGGATTGTAATGTCTCTTTTCATAGCACAATTGCATAATTTCATCCTTCCTAATACATAAGAGGCATTTGGTTTGACTCATATTTTAATCTAGCATAATTTTGTTGGGAGATTGTGCACATGAAGAATCAGATATTGTGCTGATAAAAGCAAACAAAAATAAAAAAAAAAGATTCTGTGATTGTAAATATTGTTGACATGCCAATGCCATCCTTGGTTTCTCATGCATCCTTACAATTTATAAAGTGCATTTAATTTTTTTAACTATAATTACAAAATAATTCGTTTTATTTATTTTAAACATCAATATATATGATAAACTTTGAAATAAATTGTACTATTCAAAGTGACAAACATGACAACCCTCTACAATAGTTTCTCTTGTACAAAGGCTAAACTATTGAGGATGATCAACCTGATGTCTAATTTATGGCACTCCATTTTACTTTGAAGAAAGAGAAGCCTAAGCTGGCTCAATGTGGGGCTACTCCTGCAACCAATCAGTGGATCGAAATAACACTAACACCCCTAATTAACTCATTTTGATCAAGGCCATAATTTTCATTAATCTATTTTATATGTAGTAAAAATCGATTCAAATGGATTAAACTAAACCAAATCAACTAAAACTGATCCAGACAGAGGTAAATAAGTAAAAATTTATTTAATTTTTTTTTGTTCAATGAAATATTCTCTTTAGTTCCAATTAAGTCTTACAAGGGCCTCATAAAAATGGTCTTTCTTGAGAAGGCTTGCACATATTTCTCTATCAATTATGTACACGCGGGTTGGACAAGTGGTTAAAGCATCCATATGCTTGTATCAACCAAAAAAAAAAAAAAAGATTCACATATTCTCCCTGAATCTATTTATAAATTACATCCAACATATTTTATTAGAATAAAAAAAATTTAAATTTTATTAAATTTATCTTAAAATTTAATAAATTTTTACCTCTACCTTTAATAAGGATGAAAACTTATTTTTAATAATTTTTTCTAGCATTTAATAAAAATAAAAAGATAAAAGATGAATATAAAAAATAATAAATTGTAAATGGGATTAGAGGAGCATTCTTGAGCAAAAAAAATATCCATTTATACAGATAGAATCTCTTGTCTCACCTATGGATACAAGTTTGAATTCTCTCAAAACCATTCAAATTGCTAGTATAGTTAAGGACAATGGGAGATTAAAAAAAAAGTTAAATAAAGATTAAGATATGGACATCAAGGGTCTTTTAGTGAATTAGTTTATGAGTTTACTACCCTCATTTTATGATTTACAACTCTCAAAACAAAAATTTGCAAAAGAGACATTAGCTAATTTGAAAAGGAAAAATTTGTCAAATATAACATTATTTAGAAATCATTTTCCTTCCAAAGTTAATGATTATTGCTTATAATTTTTTGTTTTGAAAATTGCAAATAAGGATATGAGAGTATAGCAAATAATTGGAAATGGTAATATGTTTGATAAGTTTTTCTTTTACAAAACAGGGAATTATACATGTAAATGTTTATTTTGATAATTGCAAATTATAGAACAAGAATAGTAATTTTTTAGATCAATTTACTAAAGGATATTCAATTCTTATTTTAAATTTTCAAATCTTTTAATTCTTATTTAAATTTAATTTACTAATAAATGTTCGTATGATTGTTAATTGATTAAGATGTAGTTCTTAATTCACAAAATTATACTATCAAATCCTATTATCAATATAAGGACTTTATTAGTGAATTAATTATCTCAGAGTTTAAAAGTAGGACTTTATTAGTGAATTAATTATCTCAAAGTTTAAAAGTATGTCTTAATTTTAGTAAGTTTTTAAATTCAACTTACTTAATTTTTTTATTAAAAAATTTAATTTAATTTTTTAATCCTTTAATTGATTTCTTATAAAGTTAATTTCCACCGTGAGATATTGGCAATTGGACCTTTGCGTCGAAGGTTCAAATGAGAGTATGATCACGTCACATCACGTGAATAATGAAAGGTTATTTAAAGCGTCACTTGATGGGCATCTTTTCTCAAGAAAAATCTCTTTGATGCTTAAGGATTAATTAAGTAGCTGTGATGGAATCACTTTTCTATGCTCATGCAATACTTTTCTTGAGGAATCATTGATACATCATATAAGATTTGAAGTAGCTTCCATTCCTGTGGCATTTATGGAAGAACAAGGGGGAAAAAAACACTCTCATGCGAATGAATTGTGAGTTGAAATCCCACAACTTGGTGCCTGAAAATTAGCTTCCAAATTGCGATAACATGTCACAAAAATCCAAAATCTAACTTTTTGGGCTCCCTTTGTCTATTGTGTCGGACATGAATCTGGATTGGATTCATACTGCGGTCGACGGAATGATAAAATTTTATAAAAGAAAAAACAATTTTTTTTATAGTTTTACTTTTAAAAAATAATTTTTTCAATCCCAATAAATTGCAATTTTTTTTCTCAGTGAAACTGAATACTATTCTAAAGGGAGAAAAACAGGAACTACAAACAAACTATAAAAGAGTCAAAATCAATCATCATACACCCCTTATATCAGTCTAAGGTGGTGAATGATTAAAGATACAAAAACAACTCTCCTCGAAATGAGCTTTTCTAACAAGTTTGTGAGCAACACTAAGGATGTCTCTATAAACAAAGCTAACGGATACAAACTAATTTCTATTCAAAAGACTAACAATATAGGATAAAATGTCATGAAAAGGGTGGTTATTATTATGTCCTCTATTTATGAGGTTAGTGGCTTCCACACAATCAGAATAAAATTCTACTTCCTTGAAATCTTTCAACCAGCAAACTTCCCATACTGTTATGATTCCCATAATTTTCGCTAGCACTGATGGGAGTTGCCCAATTCTGCTACAAAATCTTGTAGCCCAGTAGCTATTTTTATCTGTCATCGTTCCTCCACAAGTGGCAAGCCTATTAGCATGAACTGAGCCGTTGACATGCAGAGTCTAACAAAACCTTTGGCTGGAGGATGCCATTTATCAACTGGCTTGCTAGTGAAGTTTTCTGTATTCATTCTATTCATCCAATTCAAATCAATTACAGCTTTCATGAGACATTTGTTTGTTTCAATTTGCACCTTCGGTTCTTCATCTCCAAATAAATTTGTGCATCTATTGGTCCATAGTTCCCAACAGATGTATGCAAATGTAGTGGTCCATGGTACTTTTTTTGTAGAAACCATGCCGGGATCATTTTTTGAGTTCCACCGAATCCAGTCAAGATAGTATTGCTGCATAAAATTGCTCCATTGATCTGGTTCGATAATCTTTCTCCATGCGTCTCTTGCAATTTTGCAGTCCCTGACAATGTGCATTGCTGTCTCTTCTTTGTTGCATCCGACTGAACATGCACTTGAGCTTGATAGGTCTCTTCTTTCTCTAAGCTTAGCCGAGTGCACTCGATTATTTCCTAAGAGCCAAATGAAATTTTTGTCCAAAGATAATCTTTGAACGAAAATCTGGAGATGGAGCATATCAGAAAAGATGAAAAAAAAAAAAATTGCAATTTGAGCATCTCACAGGAACGCTTGACTAGCTCCAACTTTCTTTTGTCTCAGCTGGATGCGTTGGGACTTGAACTGCCTTCTTAGTGAAGGCGCACCTAACCAAAGCTAAGTTGAATAATTGATTCCTAAAATATTAAATTCTCAGAATTAATAAATATATCAATTGTTTCATTATGAAGGTTTTTTTTTTTTGGGCCAAAAATTTTACGCTTGGCTTATATCTTCACCACGTAAGAAAGAGGACACACACGTGCAAGCTCATAAACATGTTAACGATAAATTCAAATGTTTCTTTTTAAACGAGGGAAATAGTATTGCCATTGACACAACTAACCGTTGACATTATAATAATTTAAAACTCATATTCTATAATTTTCAATGGAAAGAAATTAAACAAGCTCATGAATTGGGTAATTAATTTAGTATTTTTCTTAAAAATGCAATTAAAATAAAACAAATATGATTACTTTGTAATTAGTATTAGTAAACCATGTTAATCATCAAAGCTGGCACATTATAGTAAAATTTTGTCCCTTAAAGGACAACAGATAAAATTGGAACAACACAGAAAAAATTAACATGATTCCTATGTTAAGATGACATGTAAAAATTAAGAAATAAATGTCTTTTTAAATATGGTTGTGATTAAGTTATACTTGATATACTATATGTGAATTGTCATATATAATTATCTTAAATTTTTTGTTACAAACAAATTGAACACAGACATATTAATGATGACATTAATCTTTCGAGCATAAAAAGTAACGTTAGTATTAGAATAACTTGCCATCGACAATAATCATTTTAACTGATTTATATATGTTCACAAAAGATAGAATACATAGATCCAAAAAGTTGATAAAATTATGTTGACCATGTATCTAAATAAATAAATTAAAAAAATAAAGACGTCATTGTAAAATCAAAGCAAGGCTATATATATATATATATATATACATCGGAAAAAGTCAAATAATATTAAGAACACGAATGAACGTGTTTAATGGACATGGAGACGCGGGGAACAGCCGCAACCGTAATGAAGCATGACCACACGAACATTGTCATTAGTAATTAATTACGTTATCTCCCTTCTCAATGAACAATACAATGTGCCATGGCCCATTGAATTGTCTGTTGCCCCTGCCCCTATTATTGACTAGTGGAATGATCTATGAATATGATTTTTTATATATTTTATATTGAATAGTGGTATTTAAATGAGATATAATAAACATGATACAATCTAACTTTTCTATTTTTATTTTCCATTATTTAACTTTAGGAATTTTCTCCAACTATTAGAATGGTGCAGATTACAAAGATAAAAATCAATGGCAGTGTTAATAATAAAATTTAATAAGAATATAAGATATAATGAACTTATCCATCAATAAAATCTTTACATGAATAATGAAATATGAGTCCATAATTTTATAATTTGTAAGTTATGAATTAAATCTTTATCGATTGAATCAAGGGAATGATGTTTAAATTTCAAAACACCAATTTAATGACATTTACATTGTAATTTTTTAAAAATAAATTATAAATACAGATTCACACAATTATGAGTAAAAATTTAGATTATAAATTGACAATTATATCTAAAAATCATATATTTTATTTGTAATAAAATTTTTGAATAATTGTCTAAATTCATATTTTAAATTTATTTTTAAAAATGTTTTAGTACTAGAAACTTAATTTTCATTGGATTAATTTTTTATAATTTAACAGTGATTCCTTCTCAAAAGTGAAAACTAAGGGCTGCTTTGATCACCTTTTTTAAAAAATTTAAAATTCTGAACTTATCGGGAAAAAATTAAATTGTGAAAACTAGGGCCTAGAATGTAATTTTTCAAAATTGTCTGCCAATAAAAGAAACAGCAAATGGCGATTCGGTAGAATCTTTGTAGTGGTCAGAAGTACGGACAAATTTACAATTTAACACTTTGCTTTTAATGCCCTCGTCTTTAAGCTCCTTCAGCTCGACGTCACCCATGTTCATGCTTCTCCATCATGCAATCTCTATTCCGACCTTCTATTCTCTCTGTAATTCCATGGCATCCCTCAATTTCAGGCCTTTTGGATATGCATCATCATCATCATCACTATCACGGTATCACCATCACGCTCCTATTTAAACGACACGCATATGCTTGATTCTCAACTTTGATCTCTGATTATGGAGTTTAGAATCACGATTTCCGATTCCAACGAGATCAGCAATAATGGAAGCGGAGTTTGCTATTTAGCCAGCAGCTCCCAAACCCATTTCACCCCAGAAGCTTCACTTCCTCCAGACGTCGCAGCCCTGAAGCGGCTCTCCGACAACCTCGAGTCAATCTTCGAAGCCTCGGAATCCGACGACTTCTTTGCGGACGCCAGAATCGTTCTTGGCGACGGTCGGGAAGTTCCGGTTCACCGCTGCATTCTGGCCGCGAGGAGCCCTTTCTTCAAGAACGTGTTGTCGGGGAAGGAGCGGGATGGGGTGAAGTTGGAATTGAAGGAATTGGCTAAGGATTATGAGATTGGGTTCGACGTGATTGTGGTTGTTGTGAGTTATTTGTATAGTGGCAAAGTAAGGTCGTGGCCCAAAGGTATTTGTGTGTGTGTGGACGATGATTGCTCCCATCTTGGGTGTCGACCTGCTGTGGAATTCATGGCTAAATTGCTCTATGCTTCGTCTGCGTTTGAAATATCTGAGTTGGTTGATCTTTATCAGGTAAGAGCAATACAGTTTTCTGTAAGATTCCCAATTCTCATTGAAACTTATGGTGTCTAATATGTTTCCAGTGTTTGATAGCCGACATGGCATATTGGCATTGTATATTTCAGATAACAGTTTATTGTCGCTACCATGGTGAAATCTTGTGCAACTATCTTTCAAGGAAATATGCGCTTTATTTGCTATTCTGCAACTTTACTGTAAATTTATATCCTAAATACCTGACTGGTGGGATTGTTTGCTTTGTAGAGGCATCTGCTACAAATTCTTGACAAGATAGCAGCAGATGAAATTCTGTTGGGTTCTTTCTGTTGCAAATATATGCGGTAAATCCTGTGAGACACTATTAGGAAGGTGTACTGAGCTGATTGTTAAGTCTGATATTGATGTCATTACCCTTGAAAAAGCTCTGCCACAGCATATTGTGAAACAAATTATTGATAAACGTATAGAACTAGGCTCAGACAAGCCCAAGAACATCTGTTTGCCAGATAAATATGTGAAGAGAATACATAGGGCTCTTGATTCTGATGATGTTGAGTTAGTCAGGTTGCTCTTGAGAGAGGGACATACCAATCTAGATGATGCCTATGCCCTTCACTATGCTGTTGCATACTGTGATACCAAGATCACAACCGAGCTTCTTGATCTTGGACTTGCTGATGTTAATGGTAAAAATCCTAGGGGATGTAGTGTGCTTCATGTGGCTGCAATGAGGAAGGAGCCTAAGCTTATAGTGTCACTTTTGACAAAGGGAGCCCAGCCTTCTGATCTCACTTTGGATGGTAAGAAAGCCCTTCAAATTTCAAAGCGTCTCACTAAGGCCGTGGATTATTACAGTGCTGAGGAAGGAAAGGCATCTTCCAGGGACAGATTATGCATAGAGATATTAGAACAAGCTGAGAGAAGAGAGCCTTTACTTGGGGAGGCGTCTTTTTCACTTGCTATGGCAGGGGATGATTTGCGTATGAAACTGTTGTACCTTGAAAACAGAGGTATTTATTCACAAGTCCAAACTCTCTGCATTTTTCTTGCAAATGTCTCGTAATACTTTATGAGAAGTTTCATGTAGAATCAGAGTTGTAGGATCAAGTTTAGTTATATTTAATTTTAGTGCAGCTTCTGTCAACCAAATTACTCTGGAAGTGTTGGAAAAATAGTTTCCATTTAATAACATTAAACTGCTGCCAATTGCCATTAAGTGTAGTGAACTTCATTCTTTTGTTTTTCGTCTATGTATGAAGACAATTAGAAATATAGCAGAATTAGAAAGTGGTCTATCTCTTAGTCTGAGATGCAGAATTGTTTGCTTCTTATAGTAATAATAATGGTTAGACTTTTGAAGTGTCCTGGAAACTACTATTGTAAAATAATTCAATCAGTTGCAGTATCCAATTAATGCAGAGAGAATCTTAGTGTGATGCTAATGTCTCTCTAATAGGTTTTGCATTATAGCTTCATTAAGTAGGATATTTTTGTTTGGGAATTAGGTTTCAATCAGTGATTTGAATGAAGCCTTTTAAACTTTTCAAAGCATTTTGAGCCTAAGACTGTGTCTGTTTATGGCTGTTACCTTTTTTCTTATTGTTATCAATAAATCTGATAGTTTAGTTAGAGTATTACTGTGTGTGTTCTTTTCTTGGTTCTGCACCATAGTATGATTCACAATGAACACGCATGCATATTGTTCACTAAGTTTACAGTTGAAATCAATGCATTGTCTGTTTCTTTAGTAATAGAAGAAGGAAAGGAGTTCTCAACTGGAGTGGCATTCCATTTATTTGTTCACATGGCTTATAGGAAAGTGAAACTTCCAAGATATTTAAATTCAAATAGCCTCAAATTATTATGATTTGCTGATGATAAATTCTTTTTTCAGTCGGACTGGCGAAGCTATTGTTTCCCATGGAAGCCAAAGTTGTGTTGGACATCGTTCAAATTGATGGAACCTGTCCATTTTCAGATATATCTCAAAATGGAAGTACTAATACTCAGAGGAACGCTGTGGATTTGAACGAGGCACCTTTCAAAATAAAGGAGGAGCATCTGGCCAGGATGAGAGTACTCTCTAGATCTGGTAATTGATGATCCACATATATAATTTATTGCATTGATAAATTAGATATAAAGGTTTTGGTCCTTGAAGGCTTGAATGATAGTTTTACTTCAAATTATTAATAAAAAAAATTACTTTGACTGTTGAATGATTAAGTCATAAGTGGATGGAAATCGTTAGAGAACTGAATGTTCCTTCTTCATTGGGTCAAAATTCAAGGTCGATGTGATGAATTGAGATACATATTCTTTGGGGTACTAAACTGATGTAAATCATGGTTTTTAAGGACTGAAATTGTAGTTTACTTTTCATTTTGGTTGTCAACGCTGTTCTTGGAAGAGGCAAGCAAATCATGTCCACTAAATGATTTGTATCTTCAGGAAAGAAATGTGTTTTGATACAAAATTTCCTCTAAGAGAACTTTTTCACTTGAAAAATCTAAAAGGAAAAACCGATTTATGTCTTGGAAAGATGGTGTCAACATCAATTAGTTCAAATTCACCCTTTTAAGGCACTATAATGGTATCATTACCATCTTCCATGATAGTCAAAACCGATCTTTTTTAGTACTAAACTGATCTTGGAAGTATCTAATCTTTCAAGGACTAAATAGGGTTCTATGCGATATCTGAACTATGTCGATAGTGTTATTGACAGAGTTCAATTACATTATACAGTATATTCAGTCAATCTCTCTTAGTGGACAAGAATTATTGTTCTTGTAGTGTATCATAATCTTTGGTGCTTTTTGATTGCGCAGTTGAGTTAGGGAAGCGATTCTTTCCTCGGTGTTCGGAAGTTCTGAACAAGATCATGGATACTAATAACCTGTCACAGATTGC